TCGGAGCCCCGAAAGACCCCTTAAAGGAACCTTTACAGTAGAAGCCAGAAAGTTGGAATATCATTATCGTAACCCCTTTTCAGGTAAATTATAGGGGATCCTACCATTAATCCATATTCCAACTTTCTGGAGTTCCCTTTAAAGGAACCTTTAAAGGAATCCTCAAGGGTATTACTAGACGAAGGCGCTTCGAGGTTCGGGTTCAGGGCATTCGAGGGGTTGAAAGTAGCTTAGATGGGAGTTTCCGAAAATTAAGGGTACCTTATTTAGGGGTTGTTATAATAAGGATCCTATTATTTAGGGTACTATATTAGGGTCCCCGATTTTCGGAAACTCCCATATAGGTGCCGGAACAATGAGAATGCTGTGTTGATCAACCTCCGCATATTCTGCCAAGAACTCCGGGGAAGAAGCTAAAAATGTCAGACAGGCCACTTTGACCTTGCCGTACAACTTCTTCTCTTTCCTCAACCACTTGATGGCTTGATGGCTTGATAAGTTTCAGTCGTTGCAGTCCTGACGAACGGCATTGCTTCGTGAAAATCGTTCAACAAGAAGTTTTGCTCCATGTTCGTAGCAACGCAAATCCAGGAGTGGATGCAGAGATGGCTCTGCCAAACTGCGTGTAGCTGCCTGCATGTTCTCGGCGTTGTCACCACATATCGAAGCTACCGAACAGGTTTCCCACCCAAGGACGAAGAAGGTCTGAGAGGGCTTCCGCTGTGCAGTCAATCTGCGGCTGCGCAATGCGCCAGATTGGAAGGTGCCCAGCAAGTTGCTCGTAAGGATGCTCTCAAGCCCTAGCCCCCAAACCCTACACTGTACCCTTAGAAACCCGAATAAACCCTAACCACCAAATCGTGACCCCTCAGCATAAACCTCGTCCCCTCAACCCTGCACCTGAAACCTTGCTCAGTAGACTAAATTAAAGCCTCAAACACAGGCCAAACCCTAAACCCTAAACCCTAAACCCTACGCCCGAAACCGCAGACTCCCTGCGAAGCCCCAGACCCCACACCCAAAGCCTCGTCATCGTCAGTGCTAGACCAGCAACCCCTAGGGTTGAACACTAGGGCTCCATGTACCCATACAGTATATACTTAGGCCTTACCCTAAAATTAGGTACTTAGGCTTCGGATAGTAGTTATGTAGGTTACCATTTTGGAGAGTATATGATAATTAGGTACTTGGACCCTTAGGGTTAAAGTACCTATATAGGGAGCCGTTTAAGGCTTAAGTATCTACTATAAAGGTACATGGAGCCTTTGGGGAAGGTTGAGGGATTTGTGGCTTGCAGGGTTTAGGGTTTCGGTTCATGGCGCTTTCTTTGCAGCTCCAAACAGCCAGAGGTAGGTGCGATTTCAGATCTTTCGACCCCAAATGAGCTATTGCTTGTATACTTGCGGCAATAGGGTTTGTACGGGTCGGGGGTGCACGCAGGTTGGAGGCTTAGGACCCTGAAACCTGAACCCTAAAGGTTTAGGCTTTAGGGCTAGGGTTTAGGGTTTCTTAAACCCTGAACCCTAAACCCTTACAGAGCCCTTATAGGATCCTTTAAAGGAGCCCTCAAGGATGGTGTTCCCTCAAAGCCCAAAAGCCCGATCCCATTGCCTCGTCGGCGCCGGGCCGCTCGGCGACTTGGCGCACGCCACGGTAGGACACGAAGAGCTGGTTGGCCTACCATACCGTAAGGGTCCGTAGTAGTTCCTTTTTGGGGGGTTCATATTTAGAATCCTATAAGGTAATCCCAAAAAGAGACTATATACTGCGGGGCCTATGGGTACCGTAAGGGTCCATGTGCCAAAGTAGTATATACTTTGGTCTTAAAGTAATTCCGTTTATAGGTACTTTGGGGCCAAGATCTTTTCTAGTTGAGTATACGGACCCCGAGGGATTACTGGTCTTGACAATTAGTGTCAATCGGGATCCATCACAATTCTCCGATAAGGATTCTATACCCCCAATACTGCTAAGGTCTGTGTCATTCTAGTCTATGATGATTCAAAGGGCCTTGCACGCGTATGTCGTAGCAGCTCGCAGACGCGAAATGGGGCTGTGAAAGGCTTGAAACTCTAATCCTAGCTCTAATTTGTCTTGAGAGACCTTGCGCAATCAGATTACAGAGGTTGTTCAGTGATTAGGGTTGGGGTTCTAGCTGCTAAATACCTTCAGATCTAAAGCTTAAACCCAGAGGGCTACAACTTCAACCCTGAAGACAAGATAAATTAGATGTTTTAGGAAACCCTAAACCCTAAATCCTAAACCCTAAACCCCTCACGAACCCTGGTGTACTCTCAGCCTGGCGGCTCCAAATCCAAGGTTGTGGGGCTCAACTTGGAGGCTCGGGATAATGTAGGAACCTGATTAAGAAACCTTGGGCCTAAGGGTTTCTTTACAGGGGTCTATAAGGGTTACTGTAGGGGTCTATAAGGGATCTATAAAGGGTTTCGGGTGGGACCTGAATAAGAAACCTTGGGCCTTTCTCGGGGTTCCTTATATGAATCCTACTATTTTGGGGTTATAGGAGCTGGATTTCTTAATCAGGTTCCTACAATAGAAGGTTCCATGGGTTCAGGACATGCAGACACTTTGAGGTTAAGGGCGCAGGGCGTTTAGCAGCCTTTTTCAACTCGCTCCCTTGGGAGATCAGGATCTAGGAAATGGATGTTATACTCTTACCCTCTACCCACAGGCCCCATAGTAGTTCCTTTTGGGGAGTACCTTATAGGATTGGAACTACTACGGGGCCTATGGGTAACGACTACGAGGCTTCGCAGTGCTTGTAGGACTAAACCCTGACATCCAAATTCCAAACTGAAACCATAAGCCAAAGCTGGGCCTCAGTCTGTTCCCCTTTGGATGCCTCCAGAACGGGCACCTGCTCAAGTGGTTAGCATTGCTTGAATGAAGCTTTGCGAATAGGTTTCGATAAAATTTGCTTCAGGTTCCGGGCTTGATCCTTCTGGCCGCTGGAGAGTATGACTGTTTACGGTTCGGGTTGCAGGGTAAACTCTTGGGCGGGAGGAGCCCTTAAATAGTCTAGGATTATAGAGGCCTGAATAACTAGACTACTGCTTAGGGGTCGGTTACAGTAGAGTTATCACGAAGCTCGAGGGGGGGATACTATTACTTGCAGACCCCTATACTGCTTTCCGGTGGACGCACAACCTGCCTCCTGTGGTTTAGTTCAGAAATTGGTAGCTCGCTCTCTGGCCCTTTAAGCAAACACCCGAAGAAAGCCAACCTTAGACCCCTAAACCCTAAACTGTCGAGAGGAATTTGAGCAGCACTCAGCTCATAGTTCCAGCTTTACCCCTGACGCCAAGAACCCCAAAACCGAAAGACTCCGATCTCTGAAGACCCAAACAGTCCTTGTAGCTCTTTTCTTAACATAAAATCGCAGACCCCCAAACCCTATTCTATACTGAACTTAGAACCCCAGCAAAAAGCATAATTTTAGCTGTTTCTCAGGGCTTATAACAACAAAAAATAAAAAAAATATTTCTAAGTACCCCTAAGGTATCCTAAACCGGAACCGAATCCTGGCTGACCCGCGGGCTGCTTTTCTTGCTCTCACGGGTGGCGCTGCGTGTAAGATTCCTACAGGCTTACCTTAACCCTGAATAACCCTTTTGAGGGTTCCTTATTATGATTTCTGTATATAAGTATTCCCCCAAAGGGTCCTATTGTTATGGGAATACTTCCCCAAATCATAATAGTAATTCCTAATATAGAAACCCTACATTCTACTATATCGGTACTTTGGACCCTTTGGGTCCTACAGGCTTAAGGCTTATGGAGTCCAGACTGTAAGGCGCATGCGGGCGCAAGTGCCTTGTCGGAAAGCTTTAGGGTTTTGATGCGTAGTTCATGCTGCAGCTTTCAGGGTTCGGGGTTTACGGCTTCGGGTGAAGCCGCGGGTTGAGGGTTGAGGGCAGGAGTGACTGCCGGATAGCATCAGAACTACCTTAACCTACCAAACCCTACTTATTTATAGGTTCTTATTATAAACCCTAATATGGGATTTATAGGGGCCCTACAAAAAAGTAGGTTTTGGTAGGTTAAGGTAGTTTATGATTATGGGCACCTGTACCTGAGGGATCTTCCTCCTGACATGCCAATACTCGATAACGTGATGTTGGGGGGGGAGGCGGGGGGGCCTAACCCCAAGGGTCCAAAGGATCCAATAAATATTTATTTGGGTTCAGGATAGTAGTTATGTAGGCTACCATTTTGGAGAGTATATGATAATTAGGTACTTGGACCCTCAGGCTAAGTGCTTGGACAGGGAAGTTAGTTGATGGGGCTTTGCGACATAAATATATTCAGGAACCCTCTATAACACTACTACAGCACCTACATGAACAATTGTCCGAGCATCTACGTGAAGTGGTGCTTGTTTGTATGCCAGGTCTCACCAAAGCCCCAAATTCACACTCCTCAACATTCCTGAAAACCTATAGTACACTGACCAAGCCCCCCTAAGCTAAACCCGATGTAACATCTGTGTTGGGCTTCAAATGTTTCCTATACTGAACTTAGAACCCTAGCAAAACATATAATTTTGGATGTTTCTCTAGTTCTACGTACCCCTACGTTTCCCAGATGGTCACCTTCTGCTCCGAGTCATGTGCTGCACCATCACCGGTGCTTGAACAAGGAGTCTACTACAGAAAGCTAGGACCGACGTACTCGGAGGACGCAGCTAGGGTTCCCTAATTATATAGAATATTATTCCGCTTCTGCCCGTTTTCGATAAGGCCTTGATCCCTGACACTGCTTGTACATCATGTCCTGGCACCCTGCAAGTCCGTACAAGGTGCAAAAAAGCCTAGATCAAGTGCATCACCACCAGCCGCTCGCTTGTACAAGCGGCTGCAGCACTGGATGCTCCTATTATTATTGTTATTATTATTGTTACTATTCTTCTTATCATTATGAATTGCTATTATTATTTAATTCAGTTTTTGCATTATAAAACATTGGAATTTTGGCAATTATTAAAAAAAGGAGCTGATGTGAGGCACTTTGAACTTCCCATCCTTCAGACTTTGCCGAAGGCTTTCTTCATGAAGGCTTGGGTCCACCGGGGAAACCAGGACCCGGGCCCTACGCCTGCAGCCTCGCGGGATGTAAGTTTCGTAGCCGTACTCCTCTGACTTGGCTCCAAACCTGGGGTTGGGTTTAGGGTTTGGGTTTAGAGTTTAGGGTTTAGAGTTTAGGGAGGGTCTAAAGTTTAGGGATTAGAGTTTCGGGTTTAGGGTTTGGGGTTGAGCTGTTGAGAACTTGGGGCACCTAAACCATGCTTGGAGTGTGGATAGTAGAAAGGCATTGTAGCATCATGGAACACACAAACTAAAGCTGCAGGTCATCTCTATGATTTGTTCGAGGGTTTGGGGCGCTGAGCGCTCCACCCAATGAGCTGCCCTAAATCCTAAACCCTAGCCTAAGCCCAAAACCCCCAACCCGAAACCTTCAGCTACCCATAGGCCCCATAGTTCCTTTTTGGGATTACATCGTAGGATTCTAAATATGAACCCCAAGAAGGAACTACTATGGAGCCTTAGGGTAATCCCTTAATTAAGGAATATACCTTAAGTCGTATTAGGGACCCTACTATGATTTTAGCTATATTCCTTAATTAAGGGCTATTGGAGTCTCTGGGTAACCCCTAAAATCAGCAAAGCAGCCATCGCGCCGGGAGTGCCAGGGGTTCCATCTGCACAGGATAGCGGCACAACCTCTCCGCTAGACTTAGGGCTCAACCAGGACCCCCCCCAGGGTCCCTTTAATGGAGCCCTTGTGGCAGTGGGTATTTGGGGGTATGGTAGAGGGCAGTCGGGGGGGGGGTCTAGGAAAGCTTCAGGGAGCCATAAACCTTAAATCAAACCCTCAATGAACCTGCCCAAAGCCTGAAGCCAAAACTCAAAACCCTAAGGGTGGGCGTTAGGGCATTAAGCTGTGGGTCTTTTGGTGTGTTTGGGGCTGGTCGGAACCTGTGTTTTGGGAAAGGGGTTTAGGTTTTAGGGTTTAGGATTTAGGGTCTGGGGACTAAGACGAAGGATTACGAAAGTTTGCTACCTGTGGTTCTGTCAAAACTGTGTTTAAAGGTTCTCAGCCCAAGGCACATCTTTGCCCACACGGTTTCGGGTTCATGAAGGCTTATGGGGCTTCGAAGTCTTGGGTTTCGAGCTTATAAGAATCTAGACCCAAGAGTAACCTAGGAATAAAAAGGGTGCCCTTTTTGGTTTAAAGGGGCTTATAAGGGAACCTGAACCCTAAAAAAGGGAATAAGGGCCTACTCTAGGTCCTAGGAATTATGTGGTTATGTGTTTAGAGTGTCGCTTAGGTGTCTGGGGTTTACGGTGAAGTGTGTGCATCTTCTGGCCTTCTGGGCTTCCTCGGAACTACCTTGCCCTACCAAAACCTCCAGCTCCTTATGCTGATCAAAATAGGGTTTGGAGATTTGTTCGAGTATGATCGTATAAGGGCCTAACACATTAGAGCAAATTTTGGGCAATCGTACAACCATTACAAGGGCTTTACGGGCCAGTTATGCAGGCCCCAAAAGATATCATATGTATGTATGTAAAAACAGTATGTACATATATACACATACATAACTATATAGAGATATAGCAGGGCACCGGTTCCCTGACCCAACCCACCTCTCAAGACCCGAGCACACATCCTCAACATCGTTGTGGAAGTCGATCGATGACGGTGCTCCAGCGGGCCAGAAGACAACCTGAGGTTTAGGGCTAGGGCTACGGCTTGAAAGACTGGGGGAATCAAACATGGTAATGCCCTAAACCTAAACTTTATGGGAGGCCAAAAGGGGGGTTTAAGATTCTTGGGGTAGGGATTCCTTAATATGAACCCAGTTATGGGAACCCTCATCCCTTCTAAACTCCCATAGGCTAAAACCCGTTGTGGCCTCCTATGATAAACCTCTTCCATGTCGCGCAGAAGCTCGCAATGCACCCTAAACTGCACAGTCGGCAAGTAGATTGCACGCGCCACTTGTGAAACTCAAAGCAAGCTTTTGGGCATAATACTACGCGATGGTAACCAAGGAAATAGTAGTCATGCAGCTGCTTTCGCGGTTGAGGATCTTCGCTGGCATAGTTCTCAAGCAGCTCTGAAGACTAAGACCCTGAAGCTTAGAGGGTTTAGGGTTTAGGGTTTGGGACCCAAGAAATGCGAATGCGAAAATCCCGAACTCCAAACCCTAAGCCCCCGACAGCCTATCCTTCAACGCTAAGCCGAAAACCTAACCTCCAAAGCTCGACCCGAAGGGTCCAACGAGTCTCTATTATAGGCCGTTGGGTCTTTCCGGAAACCGACACCCATAATATAGGGGCCTCAATAATAATACAAATATGGTTTTGGGGCTCTTATGTTGTAAATATAATATGGAACCCCCCCAAATAGTAGTGGTAATTACTAAGGCCCCTGCTAGATAAGGACGACTTGGATCCTTAATCTAGGGGTCCATGTACCCAAAGAGTAGATATACCTTGGCCCGAAAGTACCTCTATAGGGACTTCTTCAAGGCCAAAGTATGAACAATTTGGGTAGATGGACCCTTGGGGCTTAGGACGAAATATCAGATGCCAGGAGCTCCATCCACGCGCCCAAGCCGACGCCAGGTGCCCGACGCGGCCGTGAAGACGTCCTCACACTTCCCACTGAAACAGCGTCCCTAAACCCGAAACCCATTTTCTGGGGCGGTTAGGCTCAAGGTTTCCGGGTTAAAGGCTGCTACTGTTGATGGTATAAATCCTGCATTACCTTAATGACCCTAGACTATGGCAATTATGGTATGTTCCTTATTATGGGTAATGCAGGATGTATATCATCAGCCGTAGCAGTAGGGTTTACAGTTCGGTGTTTGGGATCCGAAGCTGCTGGGGCGGAGGGGTGAACCATGGCCCAATCCGGAGTATAGGGTCCCCAAAAAGCACCAAAGAAAAAATTAGGACAGGGATGTCCCATATAAACCCCCTTAAAATGAAGCCCAACAGAGTAGCGATATCCCCATAAAATGCTTATGCTTATGTGTTTTTTGGGTCCCTAAAAGAATGTTACCGGAAGCTGATAGGTCAGAAACTTGAAAGATGCATCGTCGGCCAAGCCACATGATTCATCGAGCTATGACACAAACACCAGGATTCCGTGTCAACTGCATGGGCGGCAACTGTCCAGTTCTATGGCCAGTAATTATTCACTGCGGCATCCTCTGCCTACTCTCAACCATAACCTGGCTAAGGTATCTGTGGGATGCTCGTATCCAGGAAAGGCCTATCCCTCAACATCGCTCAAAACCACGACTATTTGGAATGGTCTTCGTAGCGAGAAGCCCGGCACAATGAGCACCGAGTGTGCTAGACATTGAGCGATCAATCCTTGATACTCTAAACCCCAAACCCCTCAACCTAATCTAGGATGCCCAGTAACCGAGGAATAAAAAGGCTCCCTTTTTCGTATTGGGTAACTTTATAAGGTACCTAGGACTACAAAAAGGAATAAGGGTATATACGACTGGGCATCCTAGCAATCCCAAAAAAACGCTACTTCCTGCACTCCCAGCTGCCCAGTGGGGGTCTTGCGCCCACTCTGGATCCCGCAGAAGCATCCTGGGTACTTCTGAAGGAACTAATCTAAATTAGCATATTACGGTTGATGGATAAATCCTGCATGACCCGTAATAAGGAATATGCCATAATTCCCATAGCTTAGGGTGTTTGAGGTAATGCAGGATTCATATCATCAACCGGATTAATCTAAATTATCATAATAGGGGTCTACAGTGACTAATATGGTTTCCTTCATATGGTAACTTAAACCTTCAACCCTTAAAGGAACCCTTATGGCTCCTTATTATCGGGGTTCCTTAACATGGCAACTTCAACTAAAATCTCTTAACAAGAACCCTAAACACTAAACCCCTCTATAGATCCCTTAAAGGAACCCTTACAGACCCCTTATTCTTAAAATTAGAATCCCTTAACAAGAACCCATCAAAGGGGAAAAGGAGGGACCCTTAATGGGGACCCCTACCCTATAATGGGTATATAATGGCTATATTAAGGTTATATACCTAGGGGTCCTTATTAAGGGTCCCTCCTTTTCCCCTTAAAGCCCAAGGATCTCCAGCTCAAAGGTGCTATCGCCGAAGAGCTTGATTAGCGCCTTGCACTCCTGCGCCGGCTTGACTTGGGGACTTACGTTGCGTTGCCTTGGCTTTTTGAGTTTCAGGGTTCAGGGTTTGTGGTTTATAGGGTTTGGGGCTTAGGCTTTGGGGTTTAGGGTTTCGGGTTTGGGGGCTTAGGGCTTGGGGTTTAGGGATGTTTAGGGTTTAGGGCTGGCAACCCGTGTAAACCTGCAAATTCGAAAGCCCTAGCTCTAAGTTGGTTTAGGGTTCAGGGTGTAGGAAACCTCAAGGGTCCAAAGGACCCAATAATTAGGGTTCCTTTAAAGGGTTCTAGAAGGTTCCTTTAAAAGGGCTACTGTAAGGGTTCCATTATATGGGCCTTAATAATAAGGTACTCGGTTTTAGGATAGTAGTTATGTAAGTTAAGATTTTGGAGAGTACATGATACTTAGGTACTTGGACCCTTGGGGAAAGATTAACCCTAAAGCATCAACTATCCGAACCCTAAACCCTAAACCCTCGTTGAAACCCCTTAGGGCTTGCGATGTAGGCTTGAGGGTCTCCATGAATCCTAAACCTCTCAACCTAAACCCCTAAACCCTAAACTTTAAACCCCTAAACCCTAAACTCGAAGCCCTCAACCGGCACTGGTCCATGCCGGACTGGTCCCAGAAGCCATCGCCATCGCAATCGAAGGTCATGTCAAAGACTTCCGGGGAAGAGTCGCTAAGCACGGTAAGTGCGGCGTCCTGGGGCTTTAGGTGTTCAGGGTTTAGGAGTTTAGGGCTTTAGGGTTTTAGGGGTTTAGGAGTTTAGGGTTTATGGTTTAGGGTTTGGGGGTTTAAGGTTTAGGGCGTAGGTATTTGTGGAATGCTCAAGAATCAATAAGATCACGGGTTCCCCTACACTCGCACAGGCCTCAGGCACCTTTACAACTACTCTGTTCCTGAGTAGCCCTTAGTAACAAGGGTACCCTTTCTCCGACGTTTGTGCTTTCATAAGGAGACTCCAAAATAAAAAATCGCAAAAGGGTACTACTCAGGAACCTAGTAGACCCTAAACTCCCATAGTTCCCTTATAAAACCCTTTAATTCATTAACGCCCTTTAAGGAGCCCGTTAAGGGTACTACTCAGGAACCTAGACTAAGTAGGGCCACAAAAGCACATAGGCAAAAATTAGGATCGGGATATCCCATTAATGAAGCCCAATAAGGTAGGGACATCCCTATAAAATGCTTATGCTTATGTGCCTTTTGGCTCCCTAAGACTAAGTCCTCCAGGTCCAGATCGCCTACGGGTGTGTCGACCTGCAGCTCACGATGTCCGTGGACGAACTTCAGACGCGGTCCGTGAATGTACGCCTGGCATTCTGGGTTCTTGTTAAGGGATCTTATTTAAGGTACCATAATAAGGAAACCGTACTATTTACTATAAATAGATCCCAGTTTTGGTAAATTGGAATAACAGCCTTATACAAGAACCCAGCTTTGCTTGCTGACACCTTGAAGACCTTAAGACTTAAACTCACAACCTTCAGCTGAAAAGCCCTGGTGCCTATGTACAATTCTTCAAAAAGAAACTGACATGCGAAACCCTGAAATCCCAGACCCGAAACACCTTGGCAGAACAGCTGATGACCTACATCCTGCATTACCCATATTAAGGAATATACAATAATTCCCATAGTTTTGGGCCCTTAAGGTAATAGCTGTAATAAGGAATATGCTATAATTCCCATAGTCTAGGGCCCTTTAGGTAGTGCAGGATTTATATCATCAACCGAAGGATGGTCGGAGCCCAGAAAGCACGACAAGGTCCGAAGATGTTCGGTTGTTTGATTCCCCAAGGGTCCAAAGGACCCAATGATTAGGTACTCGGGTTTAGGATAGTAGTTATGTTATGTAGGTTAGGATTTTGGAGAGTATATGATTATTGGGTACTTGGACCCTTGGGGATTGGTCCACGAATGATTAGAGTGAAGCCCATGTTGATACGATACGGGACCAAAGATCTAGTGATTCAGGGATTGGAACTTACGGGCTTAGGCTTATGTAGGGGTGAAGACCGAAACCTGTTTGCCCGTATGGGGTTTTTAAAGCGACAAGGTTTGGTTTTGCAGAGGTTGCGGGATTGAAGCTTTGTTGGGGCTGGAGCCGGAGTCATGCGAAGCCCGGACCAACTTCGCCCAACCGGGACGATCTTAACCCTAAACCCTAAACTCAGACCTTAACAGCCCTAAACCATAAATCCCAAACAAACCCTCAACCCAAAATCCCAAACCCTCAGGCCTAAACCCTAAACCCTGCACCCCACCAGATCTTTTTTTGGGGTTTAGCGTGCGCAGTTTAAGGTGGCGGCTTACGCAGACGAGTCACAAGAGATGGGAGGCCAAGAGCCGTCCGGATCTTCCCACTCAGGTCACGAAGCGTATCTCCAGGTTCGCAGGAAATCCAGACTCCATCACCACTCAATGCACGCACCCAGAACATTTCTGCACAGGCGCACCAGCTTAATCCAGGAACCTTAAACCGAAAGTGGCGCTATATGCTTCTGTACCAGAATCATTGTCAAGTAACACAGCTTATATACAGTTTGTTCAACTTGAACTGTCTGTGTGAGGCATGTGTCCCCAATTCCACGCCAGAAACCCTGCAAGACCCATGCTCGACACAAAGATTCGAAACCCCAAAGCCTGCAAAGTCTGTATCTGATGCCCCAAACCCTGAGTTCTAAGCCCTAAGCTCGATGAACTCCAATTTTACCTACCTTAACCTGCTCATTTTGTAGATCGTCATCATAAACCCGTATATAGAGTTTATATGGACTCTGCTACAAAAAGTAGAACCACGGTAGTTCAAGGTAGGGTTTGCGGCTTGGGGGTATTACAAGACACGGACCGGTTGACCCTGAGCCGAGACAGCAGATCCACGCAATGCATGCGGTTGAGGGTTTGGGGTGCAAGATTGAGGTTTAGTAAGGGTTTGTTTTTTTTAAGTGCAATAGCCTCTTTCTCCACTGTAGTAAGGGTTTAGGATCTAGGGTTTAGGGTCTTGGGTGTAGGGTTTAGGATCTTTTTTTAATGCGTGATGACCAGAGTCTGCGACCTAGGTCTGCCTTTACAGGTACACGCAGGTGAGACCCATGAATGTAGTCAGCATCGAACAGAAACATGTAGTCATCGAAGATCCATGTACTCGAGCTCATTGACTTTTGGGTGCACATATAGTTCATGGACTAGCCAACCGGGTTTAGGGTCGTGGGGGTAGGGTTTAGGATTTCCAAGGAAGCGGGCATAGCCAACAAGTAACAAGCGGTTTCAGGTCAGACGAAGGCCGTCAATATGAAAGCCAGCTTTTGCTGAGGATGCTTTTCATCAAAGGGCTTCGGAACCCTTAGCCCAAAGCCCGAAGATTGAAAGCGCCAGAAATGCCCCTGAAACCTCGAGCCCGGGACCCTAAGCCCGAAACCCTATAAAGAACACTGAAACGATCCCGTCACAGGTATAACATGGACCCTACGGTACAAGGGCCTCAAAAACCCAAGGTTTTAAGTAGACTGCACTAATTCATCCGAATATCATTATGATAGGCACTCCAAACGGGGATAGTGCTATAAACTAAGTATTCCGAGCCCTAAACCTTACATCCTGAACGCCTCAGTCCTAAACCCTACATGAAGAAATCCCAGCAATCCGATAAAGCCTGCTCCATCTGGAAGAGGAGCTCTTGCCTCTGAGTGCAAGGAGCCTTCCTAGGAGCCCTTTCAGGTGCATAGCAAAGGCTTTAGGGTATGGTGTTTAGGGTAGAGTTTCTCTTTTATAGCGTGTTTAAACAAGGGCCTTCAGACGGGTCTATATAGATCCCGTAACGGGTTTTTGAAGGATTCTATATAGGGGCATTTCTGAATATATGATACAGTGCAATAGCTATCCCCAAGCTCCATATTATATATGCTACATTTGTCGAATTAGGACCTCAAAACCATTAATTACTGTTTTGCGGACCTAAATCCACAATAGTAGTACACACGGAGCCTCTTGGTTATTCACCCACAGGAGGGCATTGAAGCCCATCTCTCTGTGAGGTTTGCTGATCTAGGAGAGTTGAGACCTTTTCGGGTTTAGGGTTTACGTGGGAGTTTCCGAAAATAGGCGGCCCTATAATATAGTACCCTGAAATAAGGTACCCCTAACTTTTGCTGAATCAAGGTTCTCTGGGTGAGTCACAATTTGGAGCCGGCTTTGCCTTTGGGGCTTGGGCATAAGTCGCCTGCAGTTGGGAATATGAGCGCCCTGGTCAAGGACAGCTATTTGCAATGCCACCTATAGCCTACATTTAAACTTGTCCGAAGCCCTTCGCCTGACTCGCAAAATAGTAAAGGCACAACTCCAAATTCTGAAGCTCTACACCAGGCTCCCGACACTGTGAAGCTTTCTGCAAAGAGCTTCAGGAGGCAGCGATTCAGGAGCGACAGGTTTAGCACCTGGATGAGCTGCTTAGGGTATACATGGGTGTACAACAGGTCTAGACTTTAAGCCCTTAATCACAACTCCTAGAAACCCTACATAGAGTCTTGAACCCCATATCTTGAAATCCTGAACCTCGCTTTCAACAATGTTGCCTCCCAGCTGGGAAGACTCACACGAACCCCAACTTAACAAACCCAAAGACTTGACATTGAATCACCCGCTAAACCCTAAACGCTTCACCCCCCCCCCCCCCCCGCCGCCCGAGGCAAACACTCCGGTTGCTGATACCCCAAGGGTCCAAGTACATTTATTCTCCGAAATCGTAACCTACATAACTACTATCCTAGAGCCGGGTACCTAATTATTGGGTCCTTTGGACCCTTGGGGATTCCGGACTTGCCCTTCAGGGGAGTGCGAATGCTGCGGTCACCTTCATTGGAGAAGGGGGAGCATTCTGACCCAAAAGGGCTCCTTTAAGCATTCCTTTAAGGCTTCCTGTAAGGGATCCGTTTAGGGTTCTTTTCAGGGTTCCTGAAGACGATATACTTCAGCCTTTAAGTACCTCTACAAGGACTACTTAAAGGTCAAAGTATCTACTTTTGGACCTTTAGGGTACTGCTATACCAGGCACCATGATCAATCATCTTTCTTCCTACATCCAAGGCTTCTGCGAAGCAGGATGACCCCTTAGCCCTACGTAAGTTAGCACGGAAACCATATGAATCGAATCTCTGTTTGTAGACTTGTAGACCCTCAACCCTAGTGGGCAGAAAACTATCGAACCTTGAAGGATGAGGTACAAAGCTGCGGGAACTGGGTCAAGGGTTTAGATTTGTGCAAAATGGAAGCCTTAATTTACGTAATGCTGTCACTACCTACCCTAAGGGTCCAAAGGACCGGTTTTAGTATAGTAGGTATGTAGGTTAGGATTTTGGGGAGTATATGATTGTTGGGTACTTGGATTTTGGGGTTAGGGATCATAAGTCACAACTGGCAGTTCAATCATCACGAACTATTCCGACATCTCGTTGACACGCCTGGCTCATTCTCGTTCTGAGAGCAAAGGATCTTAGGCTCACCTTGGCCGCACACCCATGGCCGCTCGCTTAGCACCTGAACCTTGCGGCCTCAAAACCCCAAATCATAAACCCTAAACCCAGACCCAAAACCCCTAAACCCCTAAACCCTAAACCACTAAACCCTAACCCCAAACCACAGTGAGCTCGGCACGGCTGAGAGCGAGCAGGGTTTCGAGCCGCTAGGTGCCGATCGGTGGTGATGGAGCAGCTGGGCCTCAGGGTACAGGGGGGTTTCCGGATCGATAAGAGGTGATTTGAAGGGATCTGTAGCGTATAAGGGACTTAGCGTTTGGGGCTGCAGGAGTTTAGGGTTTAGGATTTAGGGTTGTAGGGTTAAGAGCTTAGGGTTGATTTGATTGTTGATTTGCCTGGTGTCATAATTTACTAAGTACAGCCATTACCGTGTAAATACAGGTATGGAGAGCATAACACGGGATGTTGTGTCAAATCATGCAAAACCAGAAAGAGCTCGGAGTTTGAGGCTTGTAATGTATGGGCCTGAATAAATAGGCTAGGGTATAATTTGCTCCCAAACCCTATTCTAATTCTTTCTGAAGGCCCCTACATTACGGCAGATAACTCATCTATGGTGGTTTTGTTTAACTGCCGAAGGGGTTTCGGGCATGGGGCGACCGAGTACTGTACTTTGGCGTTGTCCATGCGTGCTTGTGTTGGGGGGTCGATAAGCCGTACACTTCACCCTGATCTGGTTGTTTGCAGGAGTGAAATAAAACCAGAGCACCAAGCCGTAGCCAAACAGTAATCAGCCTATTGCCCTGATACTCAAGACCCTTATAGCGCCCATGATACTAACCCTAACTTATAGTAGCCCTTAAAAAACCCTGAAAAAGAGCCTTAATGGAACGATTCACTTTTGGCAAAGGGCAGCTTCCAGATCTCCAAACCAAAGCCATCCAAACCCGAAGCCCTGAAGAATAGACTCGTATGTCCGAGTCGGCAGGTTTAGGGTTTAGGGTCTAGGGGTACCTGCACCCTGGCCTGAACCGATAGAATCCTAAATCTTAAGCCCCGACCACGACACCTCGCAAGGCCAGCAGAAATCATTGAAATCTCAGCGCCGAGCCCAGAAACGGAGAAACGTCCTACACCAGAGCTGTATGGACTTCTATGCAGTTTTGTAGAGGCTGTCTCTGTTTTAATAGGAGCCTTAACCATTGCAAAAGGGCTTTGTGGGGAATGCTATAGCATGCCATAAGCAGAATATGGAACCCGAAAGAATAGTGTTCTGAATTGTACAGGCTTCTATAATATGCTCGGTTCTTGTTAATGAATGTTGATTCAAGTTATCATAACGGGATCTATAAGATATCATAATAAGGATCGATATTATGGTAGCTTAAGTTTAACCTCTTAAAAACAACCCAGTATGGGATCCGGATGGGGCTTCACAGGTGAGTTAAGTGATTCAGCCCTGGGTCCAGGATTCCGGTCTTTCGGGTTTAGGGGTCTACTTGGAGGTTCATGGGTAGTTATAAGTGGGGGTATAAGTAAGATAAGTATAAGCATAACCCATATCACGGGACTAAAAACCCTACGTATAACTACCCATGAACCTCCAAGTAGGGTTTCGGGTATGGCTTGAAGCTTCGAGTTTAGGCTGTTTAGGAATTAGGTTCGAGTGTGATCAAGACTTTAGAATTTGGGGTGTGGATTTTAGTTCTGAGAGTCCGGGGATATTGGTTCAGGTCTTATGGGGTCTTTTGTTGCAAGGTTTACGACTCACGGCGCAGGCTTTAGCTTCTGCGGTGCAGGTGTCTCTCAAAGTGTGCACTTCTCAGGAGCCTCCTGGGGATTTAGAATGTAGTTGTGTCAGATTTCGGGCTGCCGTGGGACCCTCTAACAAAGCCCGTTCTCTTGAAACTGTGATGTTGAAATTCCTGGCGACATCATTGCATGATATGCCTCAGAGCGTCGCTTTAGC